ATGTCTAGATCTCGTCGCCCTGCTGCTGACGACCGACGCTGACGCGGGGGCGCCCGGCCTGGAGCCCCCGGGGAGGGGTCCGCCCGGCGGCCCCCCGGCATGAGAACGTGTGGAGACCCGCGCGGGCGGGGACCCCTGGCAGCCCCGCAGTGCGCTGGGTGCTGCTGGGGAGCATTTTTGTTTACACTCGTTTTTCTCCGGCAGCCCCGCTGGGGACGGGTTGCTGGCTACCTACCAGACCACCCCAACCCGACCCGAAGACCCGAATTTGACCCGAATTTCGGGTTGGGGGGGGGTACGGGTTCCATGTGTTTTTTCAACATTCCCCGACCCCCCCCCACTGGAAATGGACGGCAAATTGAGGCCTTCGGGTTGGGTTGGGGTGGTTTGGTAGGTGGTGAGTTGCTGCGCGGTGTGCAGAAGATCGGAAAAGGGCCAGCTGAGGCAACGGTGGCCGCCCCCTCATTGCCCCTCTCATCTGATCAGAACGCCGGTGAAACCTGTGGTGGTGTGGTGGTAATATCAATTCACGCGGCAAGGAGCACTCGCGGATACAAATGTCAAACACGCGAAGGGTCGGGCGCGGGTGGAAAGGAGAGTCCGATAGAAAGGAGGGGTGGGGGAAGGATGAAGGGAAGGAGGATGGGCTGGAGGGGGGAGAAAACAAGATGGGCGGGAGAGAAGGGTGAGGGAAGAAGGATGGAGGGCGGGAGGGAGGGAGGGACGGAGTCGACGGAAAAGGAAGGAGGAGGAGAACGGCGAAAGGAGGAAGACGAGAGAGGGATGGAGGGAGGAGGGAGGATGGACGGAGGGAAAGATGTAGGAGGAAGAAGAGAAAGATGAGGAAGAGGAGGAGGAAGAGGCGGAGGGGAGGGCGAGGGGAAGTGAAGGAGTGGGGAGAGGGGGAGCATGAGTAGGAAGAGGAGGGAGGAGGAGGGAGGATTAAGCTGGAAGGCAGGGATAGATGGAAGGGAGGCCAGGGCGAGGGTACCGAAGGACGCCTCCGGCGCACCCGCCTGCCACCCCCTGGGATGAAGGAGGCGTTGTCGATGTCCCCACCTCGCAGGCCACGCGGGTTTCACGTCCTCCTCCCCCACCCTGCTTGTCCTGCTCGTCCGTCCTCCCCGAAGACGAAACCAGGACGAGGGTCAAGTCGGGTGAGGATAAATCGAGAATCTCTGAATTCTGGCGGCTCTGGAGGATGTATCGGGCGCTCAGAGCGTCCCAGAACGCTCTGAGAGCGTTCCGGAACGCTCTGGATCGGAGATATGCCCGTCCTGGCCCCGTCCGATCCTCATGCTCCTCCTCCGCCTCCCTGCCCTCCTCCTCTTCCTCCCTCTCTGGTCAAGCGCCCCGCGCGGCTGAGGCATTTCCGAGGCCCTCACCAAAGTGCTGTACCAGGTTCGCTCCCTGCGATGGAGGCCGCTTCATGTGCTCGCTTGGGCGCAAGCGAGGTCTGGGCGAAAGGTGGGAGCCTCAACCAGATGGAGTTCCAGCAAGGGCATTCCGACTGCTAAGCGACGGCGCACGGACCGGGATCCAGCATCGTTGCCACCAACGCACCCACACCCAAGGCCGCGGCCGGCGAAACCCCCAAGCGCGCCGCGGAAGTCGGGCAACCGATCATATCAAAGCACGCCGCACTGTAGCTGCCATGCGCCGTGGCGCAATGAGGAGGCCTGAGTGGTTCAGCCTCGTGATCGATGACGAAGAGATCGAATACAAAGAGACGAGATGTGAGGTCCCGCGACGGAGCCCCAGCTGGAGATAAGGAGTTCGAGGTTAGTCCAACACCAGAAGACAAAACATGTTTGGAACCGTTGGAATTGCCCAAGGCCCGGGAGGCCGCACTCCAGGCCATCAAAAATTCTCGGACCTCCAAATGTCGCCCATCAAAGAAAATTATCCCGGTGCGACCCGACCTAGGAGTTGGAGCCTCTAGGAAAGCAACATTAGTAGGAGCGGTAAACGCCGTCCTCCTCCTTCTCCTCATCGTCGTAGTTGTAGCAGTAGCGGTAGTAGTAGTAGTAGTAGTAGTAGTAGTAGTAGTAGTAGTAGTAGTAGTAGTAGTAGTAGTAGTAGTAGTAGTAGTAGTAGTAGTAGTAGTAGTAGTAGTAGTAGTAGTAGTAGTAGTAGTAGTAGTAGTAGCGCCAGAACCGCCGAAGCCACGCCGTAAGTGAAGCAGCAGCAGAAGCAGGCAGCAAGTCGCCGATATAGCAGCAGCAATAGTGGATGCTGTGCTGCGCCATGCTATGTTATGCTCTGCTCTGCTATGATATGCTATGCTATGCTATGCTATGCTGCGCAAAGCTGTGCTGGGCTAGGCTGGGCTAGGCTCGGGTAGGCTAGGCTATGCTATGCTATGCTATGCTGCGCTATGCTATACTGCGCTATGCTATGCTATGCTATGCTATGCTATGCTATGCTTTTGTTTTGCCTTCGCGTTTGCCTTCACTTTTGCCTTTGCTTTTGCTTTTGCTTGGCACCCAGGGAGCGCAACTGGGGGAACCGCGCGTTTGCTTTTACCTTTGCTGTTGCTGTTGCTTGGCTCCCAGGGGACTGGGGGAACCGCCCGGGGCGATTTCCACTGACCGGCCCCTTTAAGCTAGAGAGTAAGAACCCTTCTAGGCAGAGCCCAGGTAGGGAACTACAAGAAAACGTGGCGCAAGAGCACTCAGATCTGATAGAAGCGCATGAAGGCCACATGGCTCAGGACATGCGCAATCCAGACAACCAAGACCTCTGGAAAATTTCACACCCAAAACATGCAAACACAAAACCACTACAAGTATTATGCTGGGGTGCGATCCCCACTAGGGAGCTACTGCGAATGGCTTCGAAGTCTGCCGCGCATGACTCCACAATGTGGATTGGTCCACATTTGCTCGTGTATGGTCGTCGGGCATGTCATGTGTGATTGGTGCATGCGCATGGTGTTGCATGTGCTTGTGCACGTGAAGTGTGTGCTATGTGCGTTGGTCCTGTTTGATACAGTGCTCGCTGCCTGCGCCAGTTATGTGCGCTCAATGGCTGTGTGAGCGGTGCAAGTACATGATGTATTCCGGTGCGGGCATCAAACCGAGGTCATTGAGGAGCGTTCGACCACTTCATCTTATCACGCGTTGTGCGTTCAACGTGGTAGGCGCGGGCCGACAACAGGGCGGATACAAGCAGCTGCTGCTGCTGTCGTTTCTTAGGTGGGCGCACAGAAGAACTTGATCAAGTGGCCAGCTGGGCTACCAACTCGGCACAGTCTTTGATAGCAGCCAATGGGTCAGCAAGATTTTGACACCGCGCCTTCACAAGGCACGCTCAAAAGACCACGAGCAAGAACAGGGAAGTCGGAGCAGGCATTCCGCGCAACAGTGGTCACCGCGTCATTGGCAATGCATCGACAAGGAAAAGCCAACATTATCTTGGCACGCAACGCTAGCAACAATCCAATGCACGTTGCTGTGAGTGTATGATGTCCCTGTTCGCCTTTGCTTCGGACGACAAAGCAGGAGGATGCGTTTCCCAGCGCGGCGCGCGCCATGGATCGAATACAACGACGAGTTTGCACTCCAACTGCTCGAAGACAGCTCTCGGGAACAATTCGCCTGGGTTGGTTCAAGCTTAACTGGATCTGACCGCTTCTATGAACAAAGCATCACGCACCGATTCAGCCGCTGCTGCCAATACTCTTCGCATTGCGACAGTCACTATCTGCTGTCACTGCCGACACTGTGATGATAAGCGTTGTTGTGTGTTCCACTCCATGTTTACACATGCTCCCAGTAACTGCTGTGGTTCCACAACGAAATGGCCCGTATCATAGCAGACTCAAGTGTTCACGAGCATTTGCAATATGATTACGATCTCAGATTCCACGCAACACTGAAGATTTCAATCCCCGGCTTCAGCTGGGGATTGATCTAATCCCCAAGCATTTGACCCCACGGCCGTGTATCAAACTTCTGGCAGGAGGGGGGAGGGGAACGAGAGAAGGGATGGGGACAGAGAATGAGGAGGGGAGGGGGGAGGAGAGAGGGGGAGGAAAGGAGCTCCCCTTTCCCAACCCTCTCTCCTGCCCTCACCAACCCAGACCCACCACGTCGTGCGTGTTTTCTTGCGTAGTTTGGGCCCCCCTCCAGAGGTCTGAACACCAGCTTTTCGTCCAGAGTCGTTTCCTGACGGCCCTGAGGTCCGGCAGGGACCCCAAGAGGTCGAACATCGAATAATGACAAAACAACCATGTCACCTTGTTTTTTGGCTCCCGACACGAAGGGGGTTTGCGCCGCTCGCTTCCCAACCCTCGATCACAGAGGCAGATGTTTCAAGGAGGGCCACACCCCCTCAAAATCGGCACCGGGATCACTCCAAGCCGGTCCAGCCGTTGCGGCGAGGCCCTCCGTAGGAGGCCCAGAGGAAAACAGACAAAAAACTTCAACCTTCTTCCTCGAACCTCGGCCCTCCCGCCTGCCGCCCCCCATTCCCGCGTCGCTGGCGCCAGGGGGGGCGTCCTCCTCCTCCTCCTCCTCCTCCTCCTCCTCCTCCTCCTCCTCCTCCTCGATCCCTGAGATGTGTGCTCCCCTCCTTCGCGACCGTCGATCCTCTTTGATCCTCGATCCTCCTACTGGCCACCGCCAGCGGGCTGGCTGGGCTGCTGGGCCGCCGCCGCCGCGCGCTCCTGGCAAGGCCGAGAGGCCCCCCGAGCCGTCGTCGTCGTCGTCGTCGTCGTCGTCAATCGTCGATCGTTCGAGAGCTGCCTGATCGGTGTTGCCCTTATGGTGCCATTTTAGGCCTTGGGGGGCGCCTTCGTGATCACGCCTGGAGTCCAAACGAAATCCTGGCCAGAACGGTCATCAGGAGTGGTCGCGGGGTCGTCGTCAATACCGCCTTCGCCGCCGCCGCCGCGGCCGTCGTCGCCGCCGCCCTCGAAGCTGGAGCCTCGATCCTCGACGACGGTCCCTGCGAAGCCCCAGCCGCCGCGGCGACACGAGTCTCTCGAGGCGCGCCTGTTTGTTTTGCCCCACCGTCAGCGCAGTCCGAGGTCGGCAGGGCCGAGGTCGCGGCGACGCCTGCGACAGCCCCATGGGCTAGCAGGCAGGCGGCAAACAAAGGCGCGCCTCGCGTGAAGGAGTCGAGGCAGAGAGGAGCGCCGGCGCCGAACGAGGCCGCTGGCGCCGCGGCGCTCGGCGCCTCGCTGGACGTCTGCGCGTCCGTGCCGGGCTTGGGCGGGGGGGGTCGGAGAGCGGTCGGTGGGCATGCTGGGCAGTGCTGCGTGTTGTGCTTGACTGCATACAGGTCGAGGGACGAGGAGGACGAGGAGGAAGAGGAGGATGAGGAGGAAGAGGAGGGGGAGGAAGAGGAGGGGGAGGAAGAGGAGGAGGGACGCGGAGAACGGGGAGAAGAGGGAGAGGCAGGGAGATCCAAGACCTCCCTCGTCGCGGAGAGAAGCGCGGCAGACTGCGCTTCGTCGGCTTCGGCCCTCTGGGAGCCCGCTTCGGGCCTCGGGGCAGTGAATTTGGACGCCCGACATGGGTACCGAAAAAATGGGTACGATGCCCAACAACAAATGTTGTCCCAAACCAACAGCGGCCGCTGTTGGGCAGGTGGCCTCCTGTCTCGAATGGACACAGGCCGCGGCGGCGTGGACAGCGAGTCCTGTCCAAAATGAATAAGATCCGCTGTTGGGCATAGTACCCATTCTTTCAGTACCCATTTCGGGCGTCCAGAGTGAAGACGCGATCGCGACGATAAAACTGGCCCGGGGGCCGGGGACGTGACCCGTGGACCGAGGGGGCGAGGCAGTCTGCAGGACAAGTCCAGAGGCCCCCTCGCCCAGGTACCCTCCGTGGCTCGTGCCCTCGCTCCTGCTCATCTCCTCCTCCTCCTCCTCCTCCTCCTCCTCCTCCTCCTCCTCCTCCTCCTCCTCCTCTCTCCGCCTCATCCTCCTCCTCCTCGTCCTCGTCCTCGTCCTCCGTCCTCCTCCTCCTTCTGCTCCTCCTCCTCCTCCTCCTCCTCCTCCTCCTCCTCCTCCCCTCCTCTCCTCCTTCCTCCTCCTCCTCCTCCTCCTCCTCCTCCTCCTCTTCCTCCTCCTCCTCCTCCTCGTTCACCTACTTCTCGCCCCCTCCATCCCCCTCCCTCTCTTTATATGTTATGTATCTCTCTCTCTCTCTCTTTCTCTTCCTCTCCCTGTTGAGCAGCACGTCGGCGAGCACCAGCTTGACCCTGACGTGCGCCACCAAGACGAAAACTGCCTCGAGTACCACGTCGCTGAGCTGCACGACGGGCACTAGCATCTCCACGTTGAGCAGCACGTCGCCGACCACCACGGCCGCCGACCACCACGGCGGGCACCAGCAGCGCATCGCTGAGCAGCACGACTGGGAGCACTAGCGCCCCGACGTGCGCCAGCGGGGCTGGCACTCAACCGCCTCCTGGTGGCACCACCCCCAGGCTCATGCTGCCCCTTGGTGCCGATGCTACCTCCTCTGCCCCTCGGGTGCGCGCCACAGCAAGCACCTGTGTAGCTCGGGACCTGCCTCACGGTCCGAGGCATGCATCGTCACGTGAGGGCCCCTGGCCTGCCCAGGGGCCTGGCTTCCCGTGCCCTGAGGCCGTCTCACCTTGTTCAGCATTTGGCCCAGACGGGGCGTGTAGACCCCCTCCGGCGCCGCAGGGTGGCAGGGCCTCAGCACCTCCCCTGCTCCTGCCTGGCCCCTCCGCTGGCGGGGACTCGTGGCTCCGTCAGCGGGGGGTCGGGCGGAGCCGGGGGCGTCCGTGCTGGCACGGACGCTGTTGCGCGGGCCAAGTCGCCTTTAGGTTCAAGAGGGGGGACCCTTGCACACACACACACACACACACACACACACACACACACACGCACACACACACACACACACACACCGTGGGGCGGTGCCGCCTGCCTCTACCTACATGCGCTGTGTCAACCGCTGGCAACTGGCTCCACGGCCATTTTTCTCGGCCCGCTGAGGGGGTTACCCCACGGCTGAGCCAGTCGCCTCTTCGTGTGCCGCTTCGCGCACGCGAAATCGCGCGCAAAGGCAGCGCTTCTGCCACGGGTGCGCAGACGGGCCCTTTGCGTGGCCTGACCACCGCGAACCCGCTCGGCTTTCCAGTCGGGGTCCAAACGGACCGCGCCAGGGGGGAGGCCACCCCACCACTCCAGACTCGTGAGCGGCGCCGCCCGCCTTGCGAGGTAGGCCTGGAGGGCGTTTGTAGCCACGGGGCCTGGACAGACCGGCTGTCCGAAGTGTTGCAATCTCTCTCTCTCTCTATCTTTCTCTCTCTCTCTCTCTCTCTCTCTCTCTTTCTCGCTCTAGATCGCTCTCTCTCTCTCTCTCTCTCATTTTCTCTCGATAAGTATGTGTGTATATATACATATATATATGTATGTATTGATTGTTCTCTCGCTCTCTTTTTTTCTCTCTCTCTCTCTCTCTCTCTCTCTCTCTCTTTAGAGCAGACCCCCCCTGCAGAGCGGACCTCCCCCCTGCAGCCCCCCCCCTGCAGAGCGACCCCCCCCGCCCCCTCCTCTGCACCCCCCCCCCCCTGCAGAGCAGACCCCCCCTCCCCCTGCCACCCCCTCCCCCTGCAGAGCGGACCCCCCCCCCCCTGCAGCCCAGCCCCCCCTCCCCCCCTGCCGGACCCTCCCTGCCACCCCCCCCCCCCACCCCCCCCCTCTGCAGAGCAGACCCCCCCTCCTGCAGCCCCCCCCCCCCTGCAGAGCGGACCCCCCCTCTCCCCTGCAGTCCCTCCCTCTGCCGAGCGGACCCCCCCTGCAGAGCAGACCCCCCCCCCTGCAACCCAGCTCCCCCCCCGTCGTCGTCGTCGTCGTCGTCGTCGTCGTCGTCGTCGTCGTCGTCGTCGTCGTCGTCGTCGTCGTCGTCGTCGTCGTCGTCGTCGTCGTCGTCGTCGTCGTCGTCGTCGTCGTCGTCGTCGTCGTCGTCGTCGTCGTCGCTCGCGTCATCGTCGTCGTCGTCGTCGTCGTCGCTCGCGTCGCCGTCGTCGTCATCGCCGTCGTCGTCGTCGTCGTCGTGGTCGTTGTCGTCGTCGCTCTCGTCGTCGTCGTCGTCGTCGACGTATTCGTTTTCGTCGTCGTTTTCGTCTTCCTCGTCGTCGTTAATTTCCACAGGCACCCGGAGCGCCCCGGATCGGCGGCACTGGCGGGAGGCCACTACAATTTATATATATATATATACACATATACATATATATATATATGTATATATAGTGTTCTCTCGCTCTCTCTCTCTCTCTCTCTCTCTCTCTCTCTCTCTCTCTTCTTTTGTATGCATGCAGGTGTATAAGTATATGTATATATATGTGTGTATCGCGCTCTCTCACTCTCTCTCTCTCTCGTCCTGTCATTCCTCTGCGGGCAAGAGGAGAGGAGGCAGGAATGGGTGTAAGCATGTGCCGGCGCTGACGGTCGCGCGCCCAGTGGATACACGTTGAACAGCATATACAACAATCGTGGCGGCGCGGAGCGCCACGCCTGCCACGGGAATTCCTGGAGGTCTGCCGTGCGACCACATTCCAAGAGAGTGGTTCGGGTGTTGCTAGAAGTGCCCCTGGCCCAGGATTTCCAAGGAGGCCCCCACGGCCTCCAGAGCACCCCTCACGAGGCCCAGAGGGTCCCAGGGGCTTCCAAATTGAGCGAAAAGCTGGGGTCGCCTTGGGCCAGGAGCACCTTTAGCAACCCCCGAGTGGTGTTGAAATGGGCTCACGCACCGAGACTCAAGGATACGGTGGAGGTTTCACGCACGGATGCCATTGTTAAGGAACGCGGGGGCCCGAATCGGCTGAGCTTTCTTCATGCTGTCAGAAGTGGTCGAGAGCCTGGACTACAGGGCTGGTGCCCATCACGACTTCAGAAGACTGCCTGGACCCTGAACTGCGCCCGCCAATCCTTAAAATATGAGGAATGTCCGAGGGCCCCGCCTGGAAGCAAAGACTCCTTCTAGGACGCCTCCACCGTAGGCTTGCTGGCGCGCCGTGCAGTCCAGAACAGGGATCGGACAGCACCCATTGAGAACTCATCCCCCTCTCTGCGAGTTTCGTAGAGATGTCCTGCGAGTCCTCGTCTGAACCCTTGGTGTCGGCACGTCTCAGGCTTCGCGAGAGATCCAGAGTCTGGATCCCAGCAGAAACCTAGGTCACCCGACCCTGCGCACCGCGCCCTGCGATGCGCGACGCGCGGGGATCGTCGCGCACCCCGCGATGCCGCCTTGGATCGGGGAGACGTAAGACCCGGGTACGGGGGACTCGGAAATCCCCGACGAGGTCGTCAAAAAAAATGACGAGGCCGAGCCTGCATTTTGACGAGGCCTCCCGCTGCAGACATCCCACAGAACTCCTCCTCGTCAAAATCCGAGTCGCGGTCGTCAAAAAACGATGGCGAACCCGAGCCCTGGCAGACCCGGGTCTTACGCTCCCCCGATTGGAGAAGGGGCAGCTCTCCAAACCCCGGGCCGCGCCTCGCGAGACACGATGATGTTCGCGCCCCCACGGGCAAACTACGAGACGTGTTGTGTATTGCAAGTGGGCTGGACTGCTCCCCCCCTCCTCCTCCTTCTCCTCCTCCTCCTCCTCCTCCTTCTCCTCCTCCTCCTTCTCCTTCCTCCTCCTCCTCCTCCTCCTTCTCCCCCTCCTCCTCCTCCTTCTCCTCCTCCTCATCCTCCTCCTCCTCCTCCTCCTTCCTCCTTCCCCCACAGGTAAAATACGAAACGTGTTGTATTGCAACTGGGCTGGACTGCACGCAAGCTACACTCCAACCACCGCGCCCGCGAAGCGGCAACCGCACTGGTTCCCGCGAAGGGCCCCGACACGGAGGCGCGGTGGGAGCTGGACGTCTGGCAGGAGACCGCTGCGCCGCGCTCGAGGCTGGAGGCCTGGGAATCATACGGACCCGAGGCTCGGCCACCGCCCATGCGGCGCCATCCCAACAGAGCACAGGAAGCGATCCTCCTTCTCCTCCTCCTCCTGCTCCTCCTCCTCCTCCTCCTCCTCCGCCTCCGCCTCCTCCTCCTCCTCCTCCTCCTCCTCCTCCTCCTCCTCCTCCTCCTCCTCCTCCTCCTCCTCCTCCTCCTCCTCCTCCTCCTCCTCCTCCTCCCTCCTCCTCCTCCTCCTCCTCCTCCTCCTCCTCCTCCTCCTCCCCCTCCCCCTCCCCTCCCCCCCATCCCGCTCCCGCCCGCTCCCGCTCACCCTCACCCTCCCCCTCCTCCTCCTCCTCCTCCTCCTCCTCCTCCTCCTCCTCCTCCTCCTCCTCCTCTCCTCCTCCTCCTCTCCTCCTCCTCCTCCTCCTCCTCCTCCCTCTCCACCTCCTTCTCCCCTCCTCCTCCTCCTCCTCCTCCTTCTCATCCTCCTCCTCCTCCTCCTCCTCCTCCCTCCTCTCTCCTCCTCTCCCCTCGCCCCCCCTCCCGCTCCCCTCCCACTCCCGTTCCCCGTTCCCCTCCCCCTCCCCTCCTCCTCCTCCTCCTCCTCCTCCTCCTCTCCTCCCTCCTTCCCCTCCTCCTCCTTCTCCTCATACCTCCTCCACCTCCTCCTCCTCCTCCGCCTCCTCCTCGACCTCGGCTCAGCCGGGGCGCGCCTCCCTGCCGCGCAGGAAATTCGTGCGCGCCCAGCGCAGAAAGCGTGCTGAGTGCAGCACATGCGTGCTCTGCCCCCTCGATGTCGCCGTCGCCGTCGCCGTCGCCATCGCCGTCGCCGTCGCCGTCGCCGTTGCCGTCGTCGTCGCCATCGCCGTCGCTGCCGCCGTCGCCGTCGCCGTCGCGGTCGCCGTCGCCGTCGCCGTCGCCGTCGCCGTCGCCGCCGCCGTCGTCGTCGTCCCCTCTTCCCCCGATCAGAACCGTACACCCCGGACCCTTGTGATAGCCTGTCCGCCACAGAAGTGGAGAACAGGCTCCCTCTAACAGCCCTTAAGGAGGCGCACCAGCATATTGGGCGAAGGTGGACTAGCGAGGTCTGTATTCCCTCTTCTCAAACCCGCTTACATTCTGGGATGGGGGTACTCTTTCCCTCCCCTCCCTAAGGTGTTCTGTCCATGAGGGCGCGAGGGGATCCTTGTTTGCCCAAGATGGTCCCAGGAGGGACTCCAATGCTCCAAGATGGCCTTCAAGGCGGCTCAACATAGCCGAAGATGGTTCAAGATAGCTTCGGACATACCTCCAAGAGGCTCGACGAGGGCCACAAGATGGTTCCAAGTGCTCCCAGAGCTCCCCAGGACACCCCCAAGAGGCCCAAATCCTTCAAACTCCTGAGAAAAATCTATGACTGCTGTCTTCTCGTCGTCTCTCTCTTCCAATGCGCGTTCGGGCCCTCAAGATTGCCCCGACATGGCCCAAGAGAGACCCACAAGGGGCCCAACAGGCCCTCAAGATGGCCCCAAGAGTGCCCAAGAGCGGCCCAAGAGGGCTCCAAGAGGAGATGTTGAGGCCGCTTGGGAGGAGGATTGATCGAAGACCACCCACCTTTGATCGATGGCCTCCAAGATGGCCTCAAGAGGCCCCTCGGGGCTCCCATGGGACCTCCAAGACGGCCCCAAGAGGGCCCCAAGAGCACCCCAAGAGCCTCCCACGAGGGCCCCAAGAGGCGGGTCGTCTCCTCCTCCTCCTCCTCCTCCTCCTCTTTCTCCTCCTCCTCCTCCTCCTCCTCCTCCTCCTCCTCCCCTCCTCCGTAGCCATTTTGGCTCAAAGTTCCTGCTCGTCTTGGCCACGTGAGGCCATCGTGGCCCGCCCCGCTCGCTCCACACGGACGAGGCATGCCCACACCTCGCTGCCTGAACTCTCCCGGCGCCCGCTGGCTTCCTCCATGCGATCATGCTGCACGGCTCCACCAAGGCCTGCCTGTGCTGCAGCGTCGCGCTCCTGCAGATCATGAAGACGTCGAACGTCGTGCTCGCCTTCGCCTCCGACGCGCTGCCAGGCCACAGCGCCCCAAGCACCAGTGCGTCTTCGTGATCGCTTGGGTCATCGATGGCTTTTCGCCCTGCGCTCAAGAGGATCTCAACTCCGAGTTCCTGGGCCCCGTGCTGCAGGACGGATCCCAGGTGGCCGTCTTTGCGAAAGCCGCCGTCGCCGCGCCCACGGCCATGAGCAGCAACTTCAAGCTGGGCCCGTTCAGCTACAGCTTCCGCATGGCCCCCATGTGCTTCGTGGCCCCAGGCACTGGCAGCACCATCACGTGGCGCAGCGCTGCCACTGCGAGCGCGTCAAGTTCTCCTTCGGCAACCTCGAGTTCCGTTCCGCGGTGGGCCCGATGCGTTCTCAGCGGGCGAGCATCCCACCGCGGGCTGGCGGGCCCGATGCGTCCGCCGACACCAGAGGCGAGCATCCCGCTAGTTTTCGCTATCATAATCGAACCTGACTGCGAGTTCTTGCCAGTCCGCTTGAAGCTCAAGCTGAGCGGCCAGGAGTCCACCGAGAAGGGCATCTTTCAAGAGTGCCCCGCCGTGCCAGGACGCTGTCCCTGGTAAACGGTGGGATGAGGTCATGCGGGATCGCTCAAAAGCCTCGCCGTGCCAGGACGCAGTCCCTGGTAAACGGTGGGATGAGGTCCTGCGGGATCGCTCAAAGCCTCGCCGTGCCAGGACGCGGTCCCTGGTAGACGGTGGCATGAGGTGCCGCAAGGGCATCGCCTCACAGTGTGTCTCTATATACAGCATGGTTCAGAGATGCCGAGCACTTTGTTTCCCTGTCTGCCAGCCCCCGAGGCGGCTGACCAGCAGAATCAGGTGTGCAAGATGCCTTCTGTTGCAGTGTCTCAGGAATCAGCAGAGTGCCGATAGAGCGGCACAGGAATGTCTCTAACTTTTTGGAGCGAGGCAGAGGACCCGCGAAGTGGTGTCTTGCCATGCTGAAGCGGAGAGGTCCGCGGGATTAGTCGTCCCCGCTCTCCGTGCGTTGCGTCTCACACTTGTCGGCAGTGTGAAATGTATCCTCAGCCTGTACTGCTAAGGGAAACCCTGTCTGCAACACTTTTCGGCTGGCACCAATTCACTCCAGTTGCAAGTAAAGCCAGTCGGATTCCACTCACTGCTTGCCCAGATGGCGCGTGGGCCACTTTCGCCTGAGCCGAAAGGTCGATGGCCCTCGCGTGCTGCCTGGAGCCCCCACCCCTCCACAGGAGGCTGCTCTTTCTTGCGGCACGCACCCTGTCTCCCAACCACGCGCTGATCCTCCTCATCCCTTTCCTCCTCCTCCCCCCCCTCCTCCTCCTCCTCCTCCTCATCCTCCTCCTCCTCCTCCTCCTCCTCCTCCTCCTCCTCCTCCTGTTCCTCCCCTCGCCCCCTCGCCCCCCCCCCCCGCGGGCCCCAGGGATGGCCCGAAGAGGCCCTCCAAGGCCGCACCCTTGCTCCCAGAGATCTTTCTGCTCATCATGGTTGCCCGCGTTGTTTCACTATACGTGTCCCTTCGTTCCTGGGCAAGGCTGGGTTTCTGAACGGGCTGGTGGGAATACGCGAAACGTGAAGCACTCTCGGAGTGGCTGCATCTTGGAAGGGGCCTTCGAGACCTAGAGACCCAGTGGGCGAGTGCAGCATTACCCTCGTCCCCCTCACATCCGAAGGGGCAGCAAGTGTTCATTCCAGTATGGTACACGGTCTCTCCCAGCTCACTGGCGCCTTAAAAGTCCCAGTCCTCAGCGCATAGCTTAGCGCTTGCAGGGTCACTCGACCACTCTGTCAGTCGCATCAATGGAACAAGAGAACGAGGAGCGGGAGAAAACAAAGGGAAGGACGGGAAAGAGGATCATGGAATCGAAACTGCCCCCCCACACACTCTGCATTGCGCAGCGGTATAGCGGGATGCCCAATGCAAAAGCTGCGCGTGGTGAAAGTTTATGCTGCCTCGAGCAGCGGAGACAGATTTCACAAGGAGGACGACGACGATGAAGACAATGACGATGACATCAGCGACGGGAAATGTTGAGGATGATTCGAGCTTCGGATTCTAATGTCACGCATCGTGGCCAACACGTACTCCGAACCAGAAATAAAAAGACGATTACGAGGCGACCGTCGACGACTGCTGCAACGAGCGAAATGCATTGCCCGTGCTGATGGCACGCAGTGTGCACGAAACTCCCAACGAACTTCACGTCCTGGGACACGATCCTGAGCGTGAGCTGGATCCACAGGCAATGTGAAATGATCATGGGGGCACTTGTGAGCGACAAGCACCACGGCCGCCACCATCGACACACTCTACGACGGGTGGTCACAGAACATCAACTACGAACTACACCCAACGAGCGCGAGCGCTGTGTGCCGCCATGGCCCATGAGGTCATCCATGGCACGCATCGTGTGCTCAAGGGCGCGCCCATCCACGCAAGCATATCGCGTTCGGCGTTCCTGCGCAGCTCGGTTCGGACGCCGAGAGCAGCGGAGCGGATCCACTATACGTGCAGGGTCGGGGCGGGGGGGGGGGGCGCCAGGGCGCCCGTGGTGCGGGCTCGGGCCTGCAAGCGCACGGCCTGTGCTGAGCTAGCGCAGAAGAACGAGGCAAAGGAAGAGAGAGAGAGAGAGAGAGTCACCCTGTGCGAAGATGACGATACCACTGAAGCACCAGCCTCTACGATGCCGACGAAGAGCTACGAGCGCAGTCCGCCAGACCGGTGCGCTGCGAGCGCGGTCTAGGCGCAGGGTCTGCTCCAGCACGGCCACGCACCTGCGGGCAGAGCCCGCCCCTGGCACGGGACGGGGTGAACGCTGCCATGGCGCCTCCGCACGTGGTGCGCACTACAGACGACCCGCACCAGAAGGACGCGCGATAGGGACGATAAGGACGCAAGGGCCTCGGAAAGGCCATGTCGACACTTCGCGGACGGGGCGCGGCCAGCAAAAGTTGTCAAGGATGGACCGAGGAGGCAAGGATGCAAAGGTACCCTTGGGAAGGTTGCCCGTCCTTGCTATGCGGGTCGACTGTAAACTGAATACCAAGGTATCTTTCCATACCTTTCCGCTGCTCGCCATCCGCGGCAAAATTCGGACCAGTGTTGCCCCGCCGCATCGGAGCCAACGCGATGAAAAAGTGCAACACTTCCCGGCTCCAACGAATTGAAGCCCACTCTGCCAGCGGCGCTGCGCCATCGGGCAGTCCACCGTGTTCCATAAAGTGGTACAGTATGTTCGCTACCACAAGAAACCAAACCCTGGAAATGCAGGACGTCCATTGATGTCTGGTGTGGAGACGTCAAGCTTTCCATCGCAAAACCATCGAAACCCAACAAACCCAGAGCACCCTGGAGGCACCCAGGGTGTCTCTTGGCATGGGTCTTCACCGTATTGTCCTTCCGTGCGAGCTGCGCTGCATTCCCTTCCAGCACGCCCTAACCATCGCAGGCGACCCCCCGCTCCAGGTGGCCCTTGAAGCCATGGAGGACGGCGACGTCGGCTCGTGCAGCATGCAGCGCGTGGCGCGCAAGCCCATGATGTGAACCCTGCACCTCCTGCAGCAGCGCGAACGTCGACAAGAGCTGCGCGAGCTCAGCCTGGACCACCCCCTGCACGCACGCGTCGTCTCGCTTGACTTGGCCCCCACCCCCCGGTGGGCGTCCGTCTTCGCGGCCCTGGCACGCACGCAGTACAGCTTTGCATGTTGTTGCGCGCCCAGCTGCCCAGTCCGCTCCCGAGGCCACAATGAAAGAAGAAAAAACGGCATGATTTGAAACGGTTGGCGTTCTGCGCGACTTTCTTGGATCTGCGCCGGACCCCCCCTCCCTGGCGCGCGGAGCGCGCCAAGGGCGGCGACGGCGGCGCCGCCCGTGGGGAGCTGGCGCGGATCCAAGAAATCCGCGCGGAGCGCCAAAAGTTTCTATTCATTGTGATCTTGTCTTTCTTCGACACAGGCCCAGCCGTGACCCCAACGCTCTGAGCCCCGACCATCTTGCGAGCGGATCGCCGCGCGAGCGGCACCGCCGTGTGCCCCTCGGGTTCGGTTGTGCCCTGCCGCCCAGGGTCCGAGTCCTCTGTGCTGCGGTCCAAGACTTTTATCCGTCGGGGCGCTCCTCTCCAAGCAGCCTTCCCGAGCCAAGCCGAAGAGCAGCGCCAGCCCAGCCCGCCGCTCCGTCCGCGCGTCGTGCAGATCGGCGAGCCGCTGCGCAAACGCTTCGGCCGCCCACACCAAGTCCTCGTCGCCAGCCTAACTTACTGCTGGAGTAGGCGGGCACTGTGAGTGCAAAGGAGGGGGCGGGAAGCAGAGGACAAGGCAAAACCAGGGCAGCCCAGAAAGACCGGCAGCTGCGCTGGGCGCAGATTGGCGGCGCAGGACGAACCGCATGCCACACGCTCGTCGTCAGCTACACTCTCCACCCCGTCGTTGTCCCGGGTCGCGCCCGTTGGGCCGCGATAGATGGGAGGGCGATAAGTCGGGGACAGCGGGGGCTGCAGAACAGAGCCCCCTCTTCATGGCCCCTCACGGGGCCTTCGGGGCCCGGAAGAGGGCCTTCGGGGCCTGAAAACGGCACCCTTCATTCCCCCCCCAATGCATCGCCCCACCCCTTGTTGTGCGTTGTCCGACCCCACTGACTGCCCAGGGCACCCAGGGGCTCGCGCCGGCGGCCCACGCGAGGGCGCGAGGGCTCGTTCCGGCCAGCTCCGAGGGCCCGTGCCCGCACGGTTGATCTGATCCACCTTTCCTCTGAGGGGCAGCGATAGGGAGTGCAGGCATTGAGGGGGGATGCATCGACCTGGAATCGGCGATACGTCGCTGGTAGATCGGCGACAGGCCCCCGATAGTGAATCTGCACCTTCCATGGCGGGTTGGGGCTATCAGACCCCTGTCGGCGATCAATGGGCGATTGGGGGTCGATGCATCCACCCCTATGCCAACCCCCCCTACCGTTACCCCTGAACCTCTATGCCCGCCCACTTCCCCCCCCTCGGTCGTCCGCTCCTTCCTGGCTGCCTCCTGGCCCTCCACGTCGTGGTGCTCCAGGGCTGGCAAATTGTTCCAAGTCAGCCTCCTCCTCCTCCACCTCCCTATCGTCATCATCCTCATCATTACCATCAGCAACATCAGCATCCTCATCCTCATCCTCATCGTCCTCATCCTCAGTATCATCAGCAGCATCATCATCACCAGCACCGTCATCATCATCAACATCATCATCGTCGTCATCATCATGGCGGGTCATACCGCATCGGAGCCTGCCAGAAGCCTGGGGCAGGCCGGCGCGAAGCCAGGACATAATCGCAACTGGTGCCAACGGACGGCCGCGGCATCTTCGCCACATGTTGAGCCCTCGCCTGCGGCTCGAGCTGGTCCCTTCCATTCCAGCCGAACCGCCTCCTCAACGGCGGCGGGCGCGAGCGCGGCCCGGCCGCACCTCCTTTGCGCTGTGTCAGCGTTGAACCGAGGGTTTTTGTGGCGGCAGCCGTGTTGCCAGAGTGTCCCGCTGCACGGGTCGTTCGGCCGTTCGCGCCAGGGAGCCCAGCTCCGCAAACGAAAACGCTCGGGCACGCAAACACCGATGAGTTTGTCGGGCCCCCCGCGCCTGCCAACCCGCGGGGTCGAGAACGGGGGACATCCACGCCGAGCGGCACGCCGCGCCGAGCCAGAGCGGCGTCCCGCGGGCGAGCTGCCCGACGGCGGAGCGAAGGCCAGGCATACCGAGCGGACCAGCGGACGAAGAGGCCGCACCTGCGGCAGAGGACCCCGCGCGCGTGCACATGCAGCAAGGCTTAGGTCGAGCATGTCTGGATAGCTCCTTGGAGAGCTAAGAGGGTCTTAGATTCAGAAGCCAGAGCCGCAGGGTAGCCCCGGAGCTCGCTTCGGCGGCGGGCAGGGAGCCTCTGCGCGACTTGCTTGAATCTGCAGCGGGTCCCGAAGGTCCTTTTCTAAGCCTTGCCCAGTACGCGTGCCCGCAAGCTCTCCAGAAGGACCTTCGGAAGCTCCCTCTCCAGGCCCTTCCAGAGTGCTTCGCGAGGCCTTTCCGCGCACTTCGGGCGACCTGCTGTCCGGGTTTTGGACTACAAGTGTCCCCCTACATGCGGTTTTTGGACGATTAAAAATTCAGACTATGTTTTCACGATTTTCGAATAACCCCAGGAAGCATTTAAGAACCCCCCCGGCGATATCGTAGCACCGCATTTTTTATTCGATATTCCGAGGGGCCGAAATAACCGAACGATAGCTTCAGCACCCGGATACAAGGAGGGCTCCTGGTGCCAGGTAACGCTTCCAGGGTGCGGAAGGGTTATCGGTTTGCCGGAGGGGGGGGGGGTCTTAAATGCTTCCTGGGGTTATTCTTCGTGTAGAGGGACACGCCCGACTTAAAACAGGGCCCGGGCGACGCTCGCCGCGAACACGACGCCAGACCGACGAGCGTGGCAGCCGGAGTTCCTCGGGCGCGTCTCGTGCGCCTGCCACGGGAGCCACGCGAGAGCGATCCGACAACAAAAAAGTTGACACACTGGTTGGGCCAAAAATGAAGGGGCCCCAGGACACACAAATAAATACACACAAATAAAACAAATCCCCATATTTTCTCATATTTTCTGGGTTTTTGTCTTCCCCCCCACTTCCCATATTTTCCCGTATTTTCCTTGGAATCGCCGATTAATTGTGTCTGTGTGTTTTTTCCTCTCCTGAAGAAAACAATGGTACAATGGCAACGGAGATGACGGACGGAGTTGGGGCTAAGCGTAGTCCGACAGTTGTGATGTTCCAGCCTACTTCAGCCTTGACCACCAGAAAGAATGCAGAGCGCCGAGCAAATGCCGAACCTGGAGGGTTTCCACGTGTCGGGCCCTGGGAGACACTCGCCCCACACTGTTTCGACACTGCTTCGACACTCCTCTGGGTGCCCCAAATTCTTTCTGGGACGTGGTCCTTTTTAAGTACAATGGGAGCAACATAATCCAACAGAGAGAACAAGCGAGAGATGCTCTCCCTACCCCGCAGACGGGGAGGCGCTGACACGGGAGCGGGGTAATCGATCCCAGGGGCCACGCCAGGAGTGCCGCCCGTCGAGCCTCCCTGTTGGAGGCCGGCAGCAGTCGACGCGGACGGCGCGATGGCGGGAGCCTCGCCCAAGCCGTCGACAGGCCCTGGCGCTGCGCAGAGAGAGGCCCTGGACGCAGCCCAGGCCGCCCTCAGCAGCACGCCCGAGCGATCTCCGCGCCACCGTGCTGCCTCCAGGGCGTCCCCTGGGCGCTCCGCGCCACTGCATCGGGGTGCTGGTGAGGGGGCCCCGGGACGTACCAATAAATACGCACAAATCACAGGATGCCCTACAGTTTCCCGTATTTTCTGTGTTTTTTGTCTTTCCCCCCAAGTCCCAATGTTTCCCATCTTTTCCTGGGGATCGACGATTAGTTGTGTCTGTGTGCCTTTTTCTCCTCCTGAGTTGAGACCGCCCAAGACTGCCCTAGAGGCAAGATGAGGCCAGCCTGGACTACATCTGGGGGCTGTCTGTGCGCAACCACACCGCAGGCCATCTCAAAGCGTCGTGATGCCTGCAGTCACTACTCATCCCTGATAGGTAGTTGCCCGGAGGCCCGTCCCGATCTTTCGGGTCAGGCCAAGGTCGGTGATGAGGGTGTCCAGCTGGTAGATCACAAGATTCATATCCAGGCTCTTGGCCTGGCCTCTGAGACGCAAACAGCCGTCGAGGAACTCCTCAATACCTACCTTCGGAAGAGAAAAATGGCACGCTCACCTATACAACCACCCTTCGGGTGGTAAGGAGGTTACGGGGGGGAGAACCAACGTCTCACTCAATCGATCTCACTTCGATTTCACTGCCGATCTTACTGTCAATATCGCTAGCAATTTCACTACCGATCTGACCCTCGATCTCACTATCGATCTCGCGATCGACCTCATGATCGATATCATGATCGATCTCACGATCGATCGCACTATCGATATCACTATCGATCTCGTGATCGATCTCACTATCGGTCCGAATCTCAATATCGATCTCACTATCGATCTCACTGTCGAACTCACTACGGGACATCGACGGGACATCGACGGGACGCCAACGGGACACCGACGGGACACCGAAGGGACACGAAGGGACACCGACGCGACACCGACGGGACACCGACGGGACACCGACGGTACACCGACTGGACACCGACGGTACACCGACTGGGCAGCGACTGGACAACGACGGGGCACCTACGGGGCACCGACGGGACACCGACGGGACACCACGTCGGGACAACCCGGCCACCGCCCGCTCACCAGGGGAGGTTTGGAAAATTGTCTTGCCCCACCCTAGCAACAGCGGAGTCATTCCTCTCGCCCGCCCTCGCAGCTTCGGCTCGCCCGCACGCACGACACGAACCCGAAACCAAAACCGATCTCCCAGTGGGGGGCTCTCCGCTCCACTTCGATCTCACCCCCAACCTCCGACCTTGTCCAGCATCCTCCCCCTGCTCCCACCATTCTCTCCTCTACTCCCCCCAGGGATAATTGCATCCCTTTGCTCCCCGTACCTCTTTACTGTCGTTGTGATCCAGCAGCGTGAATAACGTGTGCGCCTTGCGGATGTCCAGATCCAGCGATTGGAAGTACGCCTTGAGGATGAATGGCCAGGAGTTCGAGGAGTAAGAGGCGGAGAAATCATAGGTTGGATGGATGGACAGCAGACTAGTCGAAGTAGCAATTGAAACCCAAACTTGGAAGCCAGAGAACCTCAAACCTGGAAGCCGGGAAGGAGAAGAGGGGGAGGATGAGTAGCCTTCACACGATCATTCTCTAAATGAGTCCTGAACTCGTCCCACGACAGTTGGCCCGAGCCATCGGTGTCTGCCTGCTTGAAGAAAGTCTTAATGTCGGAGGCGTACTCCTTAAGCGAACTCAGTTCAGCATCTATCAGACGGTCGCGGTCCCTTGCGGCAACGCCAGAAGTCACTTCCACCACTGTACCAATTACGACATTGAGCACCAAGAAGGACATGAAGTATACGTAGACGACAAACATAATGCCATACATGGTGCCGATCTTGCACAATGAGTAGAACACCTCCCCCCAATCCCTGCCGCCAGTGATACTCTCGAAGAGTGTCAAAATAGCTCGGTCAATGCTGCTCCAGCTGCACTTGATGTAATCGATGTGATCTTGCGGGGTAGACCAGAACTGCTGCTCCTCAAGACTGAGTGCAAGCCCGCCACTGTTAAGATGCGACTCGAAGTACAAGACGGTGCCATGCATGAAGAACATCGCGAATATGTACTTGAAGACAAGGAGCACAACCAAGACCCAAAAAAGGGCGTCTAATGACTTGAAGATGGAGGCAATCATGACGCGCAAACTCTGGCACGCCTGCACGACCTTTACAACCCGAAAGACCCGCGTGACGCGAAAGAGCCGGAGATTCCGAGTGAATGTCAAATTCAACATCTCTAAACCGTACGCCTTCTCGAGGACACGCTGGAGAACAGCTGCGACAACTAGGACCGTGTCCAGCAAGTTCCAATGCCAATCGCGACCGAAGAATACGTACACGTCCTCCGCCACCACCTTGCAGAGGAGCTCGAAGGTGAAGAAAATAACAAAGCCAAGCTCCACGTAATCCAACCACTTCGCCATCGGATTGCCATCTTGCGCCTTATCCATCTCGAGCTGCATGCTGATGCCGATGAACAATGAGTTGGCGGTGATCGCCAAGTACGACATGAAAGCGAAGGGCCAACTCTTCACAATCCTGCACCGAATCTTTTGTCCGCCCCCACACACACAAGAACCCACCCACCCACCCACCACACACACACACACACACACACACACACACACACACACACACACACACACACACACACACACACGCACACACACACAAACAAACAAACACACACACATACACACAAACACACTTTTCGGTCGCCGCGGGCTGGGCCTGGCCGTGGGTCCCGCAGGCGCGCGCGGGCGCGCGCCGGCAAAGTAGGAAGGTCCGCAAGGCCCTCAGAGGACAGTGGTGGGGCAGGCCTCCTAAGTAAGGTCGGAATAGATGGGGTCGGGGGATGGCGCCGCATCGCTGATGCATCGGCGATGCATCGGCGATACATCGGTGATGCACTGACGATGCATCGTCGACGTCGGCGATGCATCGGCGACATCGGCGTGGAAAATCAGGCTCCGCATCGAGCCGCGTCGTCGATGCATTGGCGATGCGGCTCGATCCTCCGACCCCGTCTACACCAACCCCGTCTGGGAGGCCTGGAGCAGCGGCCGCGACGGTTGCGCCAGCGGCAGGGAGGCGGCAGCGGTGCGGGCGGCGGGAGGCAGGGGGGCGGGGGGCAGCGGCCAGCGGCGACCGCCAAACGGGCGGCCGCAGGACGGCGAGCAAGAAGCGAGACGCCGAGGCAGCGCGGGGGCGGGAGGACAAAGCGGTGGAGCACCGCGAGGCCGCGGCAAGACCAGCGGCTGCCGCCAGCGCGAGCTGGGGGCGGGAGAAGGCAGGGCTCGACCTCAGCGGTGTTTTCCGTTTTCGTGTTGTTTTCGTTTTCCCGCGTTCTGTCTTCGTTCCGCCCCCGCTGCAAAACGAGGTCAGAACGAAAACGGCCCACGAAAGCGCCCATACGAGCGCTCGCGCCATGCGCACTTCAGACGTGCGCGTCCTCGCCTCGCTCCAGCACTGCGGCAGCCGCGCCCGCACGAGAGAGCGCCGGCCTCGGGACCCCGCCGCTGCCCGAGACGGTGCCCGTGCTCACGGGGAGCGGCAGCTGGCGCGGTGCCGGGCGGAGGGAGACTGGCGAGCCGCGCCGCGGGCGGCAGCGAGCCGCGGCGCCGGGCGAGGGGGTTGGGCGACGCGGCAGCGCCGGCGCGGCAGGTGCAGAAGAGAGAGGGACGCCAGGGCTCGAGCCAAGCAGTGTGTGTTCGCTGTGGTGCTGTTTCTGCTGCCCTTCGGTCTGTCTCCGTGCAGCCTCTGCCGTGCTGCGAAGCGACATCGAAACGAAAACGGTCCACGAGATCGCCAAAACACAGTTCAGCTCGAGGCCGAAATCGTCGAGGGTAAAGGAACCCCTAACCCTTTTTAACACAGTGAAGACGTGGCCTCACTGAGGTCCCCGTCCTCGCATCAGGGCTAATAAATCTGGGCGGCCTGCCTCGATACATCTAAACAGCTCCCCAACTTGGCTCCCCAACCAAAGGGTTAGGGGCACTTCTATTGCTCATCACTCAGGGGCGCGCCAGGGTGAGGCAGCGCACCCAAGCGGTGGTCGATCGGCCGCGCAGTCCGGCCTGCGAGTTGGAAGGCGAGGGGGAGGGAGGAGGAGGAGGAGGAGGAGGAGGAGGAGGAGGAGATGGAGGAGGAAGAGGGAGTCGAGGAGGAGGAGGAGGAGAGGAGGAGGAGGAGGACGCCGCGGGTGGCCGGGTGGGTGGGGCAGCGCGCCGGGGAGCGGCGGGCGATCCGCACAGCGAGGGCGCCGCCGGAGGTCGGCCAGCAGCCGGCTGCTCACGAGGCTGCGCCGTGTTTTTTTTGTCGGCGGCGAGCGAGGGGGAGGAGGAGGAGGAGGAGGAGGAGGAGAAGGAGGAGGAGGAGGAGGAGGAGGAGGAGGAGGAGGAGGAGGAGGAGGAGGAGGAGGAGGAGAGTGGGGGGCGGAGCGGGGAGGAGATGGGGGGCTCCCTGCGTCTTCGGGGGAGGCTGGGCAAACCTGTGAGGAGGCCGGGGGGCTTCCAGGCCTTCGGAGGAGGCCCGCCCCTGCTTGCGTCCCCCCCTCGGGCTCGCCGCCGACGTTTGTCCGCCCGCCCACACTCACACGCATGTTCGCTCCTACGCGGCGCTGGGCTGCAAGCATCGGTCGGGTAAAGCTGAGCGGGGATGGTGCAGAGGCGAAAAATACCCACCTGGTGCGGAAAGGTGCGCAGCGCTGGAAGCCCCAGGAAGAGCAGGTCGGGCGTAGCCGGCCGCTGGGCAGTAGTGCGCAAGCGACGCAGGACACTCGCACGCACACATTCGAAATAGGGTTTCAGCTTAGTCAGACCCCCAGCGCAGGAGAGAAACCCCGCTGCCCTACCACGCGCATGTTCACCTCCGTCCCACTCTCGCACTCAGCGTCATCACCACCATCAATCCTCCCCACCACGTCTGGCGTTCTCTCATCCTCGTCCTCGCCATCACTGCAACCACTCATCTTTTTTTTCGATCGCATTCCCAACTGCACTCCTACCAGGATCACTCGCATCCTCATCCTCGACCGCCTCCTCATCGTCGTCATCGCTCTCATCACTAGCCGCGTCCGAGAGGGGCTTGAATCCCAGTGGCTACTCGCGTCTCCTATGGAAAGACATGCGCCGAGCCATCGCTAAGGGCTCCTACACAGGAGGTGGTGAATCCGAGTGCCTATCGAAAAAAACATACACAACCACTGGTGAGGTGGACCTCCCAATCTCCGTGGACCTCCACCCCGTTCCGAACGCCCCACGGGCTCTCACAAAAGGGTTGGAATGCGAACGGCTCTCGGAATGCCGTGACAAACACACGAGCGGGGGGAGGTCGAAACCCGCTATCCGTGGGCGTCCAGCTCGACACCAGAGGACCCCGTGCGCCCCTACCCAGGGGAGAGAGAATCCAGAGCGCCTCTCGGCACGCCTTGCAGATGCAGGGGTAACGTTGAGCACGTGATCTCCCAGGGGGGGGGGATCGAGTCCGAGCGTTACTCGCACTGCCCTCTCCTCAGCCTCCCGCTCCACCTCCGCGCAACTTCCGCAGGCTCCCCTCCTATGAGGTCAGCCTGTCGGGATGTTTCTCCTTCACCTCCTACACGTTATCCTTCCTCCTCCTCCTCCTCCTCCTCCTCCTCCTCCTCCTCCTCCTCCTCCTCACCCTCACCCTCCTCATCCTACTATTCCTGGTGTTATCCTCACTCCTGATCCTGTTATTGATATACTCGTTACGTCCTCCTTCAGCGCATGTGGGTGGCCAACATGCTCAACTGCCCCCTCTTGACAGCTCTCATGTTGATGGCCAATGCATGATCGCCATGTTGCCCCCCCTTCCTTCTCGTCATACCCATCCAGCTGGTAGTCCAGCATATCCCGATTGTTACTCGAACCCCACGATCCCACTGCCTACTATTCCGCCACCGTGCCTCGATGCACGAGGTGGAGCGTCCCTAGACTCATGCAGCCCTGAGAGGCACGGGGGTTAGTAAGGCTCTTCAGGGCCTGGACCCCCTGCTGGGCGCTCTTGGGCGTTCACACCCAGGAGGACCCCAACACGGGCATACAAGGGTGGCCCAAGCCGCCCCAGACTTCCAGATGGCCTCAAGACGACCAAAGAGGCAACTGAGAAGCTCCGAGGGAGCTCCAAGAGCATCACCAAGAGGGCCCATGAGATGCCAAACTCATGGATTGCCCGGTGGTTTTGGAATGATTGGAGCCTTCTCGGTTTGTTCAGCTTCCGACGCTCCAGGACTGCCCAAAAGGCTCCCAGTCGCGCCCAGGGACTGCCCAGGAGGCTTCCAGGAGGGCCCTAAGACGGCCCAAGAGGGCCCCAAGACTGCTCAAGAGGCCCCGAAGGCTGCCAAAAAGGCACCCAAGAAGGCCCCAAGAAAAGCCCACGAGGGGAGAACACGAAAGGACATTTCGAGCCATCCGACCCACGATGGCCCCAAGAGTCCCCAAAGGCTCCCGAGGCCCCCCCAAGACACCTCAAGAGGCCGCCAAGAGGCCCCCAAGACGCCCCAAGAGGCCCCCAAGAGCTCTCCTCCTCCTCCTCCTCCTCCTCCTGCTCCTCCTCCTCCGCCTCCTCCTCCTCCTCCGCCTCCTCCTCCTCCTCCTCCTCCCGTAGAGTGGCACAGTGACGGTGGGAGAGCATGGTGAAGAGGAGAAGGGGGAAGGAGGGCGAGGAGAAGAAGGAATGGGTCCTCAACCTCATGTTGCTCCGCCTTCTCATTGTTAGCACGCCTCCTCACATTGTTGGCACGCCTCCTCCCCCTCCTCCCCCTCCTCCTCCTCCTCCTCTTCCTCCTCCTCCTCCTCCTCCTCCTCCTCCTCCTCATCATCATCATCATCATCATCATCATCATCATCATCATCATCATCATCATCATCATCATCATCCTCATCCTCATCCTCATCCTCATCCTCATCCTCATCCTCATCCTCATCCTCATCCTCATCCTCATCCTCTTCCTCCTCATCCTCATCATCAGCAGAATCATCCTCATCCTAATCCTCCTCCTCCTCCTCCTGCTCCTCCTCCTCCTCTTATAACCACCTCATCCTCCTCCCAGAAGGCGCGTAGCACCCCGCAGTTGCTTATAAGAATGAGGGGGTGGCGGGGTCGTCTACAGTCTGCGAGGCTCTGAATGAGCCCGCCGCAGGCACCGATGTTTATCAGAGTGAGGGGGCCCGTGTGATCGTGGCTTCAGTGGGATTCCGCGGTGTGGATTGCTATTGCTGCCGTAGGTGTTGGTGTTGTTCCTGTTGTTGTCGGTGATGGTGGTGGTGATGTTGTTGTTGGTGTTGCTGTTGCTGTTGTTGTGTATGAGTGTGTGTAGGTTGTTGTTGTTGCTGCTGTTGTTGTTATTGCTGTTGTTAGCATTGTTGTTGGTGTTGCTGTGGGTGTTGATGTTGTTGCTGCTGTGGTTGATGTGATTGGTGTTGTTGTTGTGGATGGTATTGTTGTTGCTGTTGACCTTGTTGTTGCTAATGGTGTGGTTAATGTTGTTGTTGCTGGTGGTGTTGTCGTTAGTGGTG